AAAAAACACACACACATCATGGTAAAATCATTACATTCATCGCTCCGCTCAGAATCTAAAATGTAAATTCATCTTTGAAAAATTAATTTTTAGCTTCAATAGAATAACTATAAAGTAATTTATTTACACCTCCACGATAGCCTATTTTTCCAGTCATGATGTTATTTTGATTAGGCCGTTTAAATTATAATTCATAATGTTTTTTAAACCGTGTACTATTATAATTCACAAGTTTAACACGATAATACCGATAATTTTACAATATTGAACTTGCTAAGTTGTACTGCTCTATTGTTGGCTGTGCAAATTTGATTAAAGTTTTCATTAAACCACAAACAGTAGGTAGTCTTAGTGCAGTTAGTGTTACACAGATATTTCAGATAATTCGAATATGTTATTGGCATATATTCGTGCAATACGACCAACATAGATGGTACGAAACACTGTCTAGTATTATAATAATATAATATCATAAAAAATACTTTGTAATTCATATTATATATTGGAAATTCTAGATCGTATGATTTTGTAGCTCATACGATTATAGGAATCAGAGATAAGCGGATAAGAAGGAAAACGATTAAAATGTCACGTAAAAGCTTTTGTAGACGATATATCATTATACCAACAGTAAAAAATAAAGAATAACAACAATACATGGTAAACACGAGAGGTTTGTTATCGTTAAAGTGTCGTGTCCGGATGACGTGCCGGAAGACAATTTGCTGTACGTGGATGAAACGGGCAGTAATCTCGTTTACCAATAATTGGTATAAATTATTTATGTTCAACCGAACAAAGATAACATGAGAACGGCAGATGATGATTAGGATTTCTTGACTCCAACAGTGATGATTAACGATAAAATATACAAATAAAAAATAATAAATAATACGATATTAGTRACTGTTGAAATCTGTTCATTTATACGTACATGAATCTCAGTATTTTGGAGCAACCATATATCACCTACAGTTATATCACATTGGCATTAGGTGTTCGAAGTAATTAAAATAGACTGACCAGTGCCTAATGGCCATTATGATTATAATTAGGGAACGGATTTAAATGCTCTAAAAAACAAGAAAAATGCCTTAAAAAAAT